GCGCCCGAAAACGTAGAACTGCCGGGAAACAGATGGGCGACCGAAAGCACATGGGCGCCCGAAAACAAATGGGCGCCGAAAAAAGAAGGCGCCAAAAAGAAAATGGGCGCCCAAGAGCAGATGGGCGCTCAAAAACAGGTGGGCGCCGAAAAATCATTGGCGTCTGAAAACGGATTGGCACCCGAAAACACATGGGCGCCCGAAAGCAGATGGGCGCCCGAAAACAGATGGGCGCCCGAAAACACATGGGCGCCCGAAAGCAGATGGGCGCCCATAAACAAGTGTGCGCCCGAGAACAAATTAGAACCGAAAACAAAAAGGCGCCCGCACGAAAACAGATTGGTGCCCGAAAGCAGATGGGCGCTCGAAAACAGGGAGGCGCCGAAAACAGTTTGGCGTCGGAAACAGATAGGCGCCCAAAAGCAGATGGGCGCCCGAAAGCAGATGGGCGCCCGAAAACAGATGGGCGCCCAAGAGTAGATGGGCGCCCGAAAGCAGATGGGCGCCGCAAACAAATCGGGGCCGTCGTGAACGTTGCCGTCGTCGGTCGCGGTCGTCGTCTGCGTGAGGCGCCGTGTGCCCCCGAGAGCCGCGCCGAGGGCTCCCGAGGGACGCCTGGCCCGAGAATCTTCGTGCGGCGTGGTTTTCGTCCGGACCACCCTGGCCCGGATGCCGATCGGCCGCGCGATCCAGAACCGATCTGGGGCCCCGATGCGGGATCAGCCCTGATCCGGATCTGGACTTGGACGATCCGACCTGGATGATCGGGCCTCAAGCCCGATCTGCGGATCGGGGTGCTGTCCAAGTGCAGCAGGGAGATGGGGTCTATAGGGCTCGGGGCCGAGATGTTTCGCGATGTTGCATTTTTCCGCAACATCGGATCTCAAGGGAAGGCGAGATGCGCCGAAGACGTGACCCCGCCTTAGCTGCCCCGATACGCAACACGCAACACGTAGCGTAGTCATCTGGAGCTGAACACGTGGACTTGACGCGATACGTTCGCCAAAACGTTGGCCACTACGCGCTGAACCAACACGCAACGTGTTGACACGGACGCTGTGAACACGGTACGTGTTGCGCTTCAACGCGGGCGTACCGAGGTAGCTAAGCACCCTACATGGAATCGCCAACTGACCCCAGCTTGGGTGCAAACCCCTTCCTCGGGGCCAGCTTCTCGTCTCGAAGTATTTTCTAATGGGCCTAGGGCCTGGAACTGGCCGCCACGAAAGCCACGATATTGCGAAAAACCAGCCGCCCCGATTGCTTCGAGCCGCCACATCTCTGAGGACGAGGAGCGCGGGGCTTTCGGCCATTCTCTCGGGCCGTTGAGGACGATCCCAACACCCCCCGCACGCCCTCGACGAGGCGCAGCTGCCGAAAAGCGCCCCGAGAGGCTAGAAGACCATGCTGACTTCTCCGATGCCAGTGGATCTTCTGAGGTGTTCTGGACGGACAACAAGATACCGATAATGTTACTCCTAAGTCGGGCCTGTCCCTCTCGAGGAGGAATCTTCCAAAATAGTAAAAAAAAGTATGGGAACGATAGTTTTGGACCACTCTTATAACAGTTTGGAGCTGTTTTTGAATATGTTCTATTTTTCGTCCAAAATCCCCCTGTAGGGGGACGTGCCCGACCTTCCAAAATAGTAAAACAATAGTCTGGGGACGATTTGTGGACTACTCTTATAACATGTTGGAATCGTTTCTTGAGTATGTTCTATTTTTCGTCCAAAATCCCCCTGTATGGGGGACGTGCCCGACTGAATGCTACTCCCCGGAGCCTGCCCCAGCGTGCGTTCTGCCCGGGAGCTCGGGGCGAGCCTGGCCGTGGCGACGGGGGACGACTGGCAGCAGCGGCACGGCACCTCTTCCTAATGTGAAGTCGGGGGTGTCCCCCTACGACGAAAATCAGAAAACAAATCGGCGGGGGGATTTTCGACGAAAATTAAGAAATACCCCCCAAAAATACACCAAAAAGGAACAACAAATACTCAAAAAATAGTCCCCAGAGCTTTTGTTCACTATGTTTGAACATTCCATCTGTAGAAAGACAGGCCCGACTTCATCCTAACCTGCCCCTCGTGTGGCGGCGCGCCGAGGAGGGCAGGGCGGGGGGCAGGCTTCCTGGAGGGAGGCCGCTCCTTAGCAGGCGCCAGCTGCGAGGCGGGGATTCTTATCCATATCCACCGCGGCGCCAGCTGCGAGGCGGGGATTCTTATCCATATCCACCGCCTGAGGGACCGACGTCCCGGTGCCCCGGCGGGCGGCGTATGTGGATGTATTTCGGCCCCCAGGGGGCCATATGTCCACATGCACCGTCTGCCGAGGCTCCGAGAACTGGCCCTCCAGGCGCTGGACATGGACAAGCTCCCGCCTCGGACCAGCCTCGGTCTTCTGGGTGAGGCCCACGCCCTCTAAGCAGCAGCCTCCCTCCAAGAAGCCTTCCCCCCTTCCCCCCTTCCCCTGCCCCCCCCTCTCGGCGCGTGGCCGCCTCTTCGAGCCGCACGGTCCTCCACCACCGCCGAGAGCCTGGCGTCGCGCTCGAGGACGGCCGAGGACGGAGCGGGCGAGGAGCGGCACAGAGATTAGGCAGTGCCGCGCATTGGGGGGGGGGTGGGGGGCGCCCGTCCCAGGAAGGGCCGGAGAGCGTATAGCCTTAGGGCCGGAGAGCGTATAGCCTTAGGGCACTCGCTATCGCTCGGACGTCCATTCCCTGTGTTCTGTTCGGTTTCGTGCGTGGTTTTTTTGGCCACATGATCAAGGATGCTCCTCGGTTGTCCTCGCCGAAGGATAAAATGCACACGTCCGAGCGATGCCAAGGTATAGCCTTAGGGCTGGAGAGCGTATAGCCTCAGGGCAGGCGTCCCCGACGGCTGAGAAGCTCACCGGACGAAGGCCGCCCTCTTCAGATGTCCTCGACGGGTCGACGCCTCTCCGTCTCCCTCGAGGGCCTCGAGGAAGTAAGAAGCTTGCCGGAGGAAGACCACCCAAGGCTGACCCTCTTGTGGCGGCACGCTATGCACGTACAGTCGGTCTGCTGAAACAGGGGCGGCAAATCAGGAGCGAAGCTCCTCTCTGGCACCAAGACGGCCTGCATGCACGAGGACGGCTCGCGGAACAACCACGGGACGATCTGAGCAACAGCGAACACCTTCCGAACACAAAAGTCACATTTCAGCGTCGGGTCTGTAATTTCTCCGAGGTCTGCTCAGATGTCTTGAATCGGCGTGGGGCGCGCCAGGGGTGGAGGCCCGGGCCACCAGAGGGGGCCCCGCGCCGATCAAAGAAAACCGCGCGGAGCTCCGACAATGTTTGATTAACCATGCAGTTTGCTGTTTTGTTCGGCCTTGGAGTACCAGGTGGGTTGTTCTGGAACAAGAACATACCGTAGACGGAACTATCCTTTCTCCGACCTCGCACAACGCCGGCAGAATCGACCGCAATGTCTACAGACGCGTCCACCCCGAATCTGTCTACATTTGTGTATCCGCCACCGTGCCTCGAGGCACCAAGTGGAGTTACCCCCAGGCTCTCATGTGTCCTCTGTTCTCTGTACTCAGGACTCTGGGCTTTTTAAAAGCGAGATAGATTCGCCTCGGAGGCTCGCTATGCCCTCCGAGGGAGGCTGGAGCGCATGGGCAAGGCGCCGCGTGGTCGCAGACTCGGCATCCGAACGCAGGCCATGAATGAGGCCACGAAGCTGCTGGCCTAACCGTCTGATGGAACGGTGCTCGGGATATCTGGCCTGGCCGTTATTGCCTAACAACGATCTCCAAGCGAGCTGAGGCCCAATACCCCGAGTGCCCAGTCGAACAGGTTGCTCACAAGAATGAGGTCTTTCTCGGCTCGGTCTGGCCCTGACTGATCGAGAGGGCCCCAAAGGCGATTAACTCCCCAGAAACTTCAATTATGCAAGCATCGCAAATCGGGGGCGGCCAAGAGGGGGGCGTCCAAGAGGGGGGGGCGCAAATCATGGCCAGCGGCATGTGCGCGGCCCAGGGGGGGGGCAGGGAAGTTCTGCAATAAGAAGAGGCGCGATGAAATCTGAGGACATATCATGGCCCACGCCATGGTATCCCCCCCCCCTAGTCATCACCCACCTCTTTGCCGCCCCCGAGCAAAGCAGCGTCCGCCAAATCCCTGACCCCGTCCCAGCAGCTGCCCTCAGAACGGAGGCCGAACACGGGAAGACAGGGAAGCGGAGACGGCCTACGAAACGATGAGGCACGCAGGACCGCAAGGTGCGAATGAAACACCAATGAGGGGCAATGATAGGGGGGGACTGGCATAGGGGGGGATGCATCGACCTGGAATCGGCGATACATCGCCGATAGATCGGCGATAGGCCTCCGATCGTGAACCCGCACCTTCCTGGGCAGGTTGGAGATATCGGGCCCCTATCGGCGATCAATGGGCGATTTGGGGTCGATGCATGCCCCCCCTATGCCTGTCCCCCCCCCCTATCGTTGCCCCTGAACCATCTCCACGGGGGGATGGGGGCCGGGGAGAGCTCGGTATCAAGCTTCGTGCCGATGGAACGAACCGCTTTACTGAGACCAGCCGAGCAGACGAAGAATCGAAGGTGGTGGGCTAACCAGCAGGAAAAGGCGCACACGCAGTGGGAAAGATGCCCTTCAGCTTAGTTTCTAAAGCCGACGCATCCAACTCTCCAGGCTCAAGGTTGAAATCCGCACCCACAAGCCAAGGCTGGTGCCAAGAAAGCCCAAGAGGCCCCCTAGAGGCCCCACGATGCCCCCAAGAGGCCGAAGAAGAGGCCCCAAACCTGCTTACACACACGACCGTCCAAGAGGCCTCTAACCCATAACACAGAGACGGTGGCGGGATGGGCCGAAGGCTTCTAGATAAATCATACATATATATGTATACACATATAGTTATGTGTATATACACATGTATACATGTATATATACGCATATAGCTGTTATACATAAATGTATATAGTTTTATGTACATATGAATATAGAGACGCATCTAGCATAGACACCTGGCATTGGTCTTCTAGAAGCAGGTAGGCCTTGCCGCCACATAATGTTATGTCATACCGCCCTTCGTCCGCTCGGAGGGCACGCGCCCGCCCGGCAGGGGGTCGAAAAAGTACTGCGCGCGCAGCCGCGCGCGCCGCAGGCTGCTGACCTCTCAGGGGCCCACACGGAGTGAGTCCACACGTTGTGCTCGGTCTCCGTCTGTGCTGACCCCGTATGGACATGATGCAGTCTCTCCTGGCAGGATACCAAGTCCATACGGGGTGAGTCCACACGTTGTGCTCGCTCTCCGCCTGGGCTGACCCCGTCTGCACTCGGCCTCTCCCTGCACGGTGCTATAAGCCCATACGGAAGTGAGTCCATACGGCGTGCTCGGTCTCCGCCTGGGCTGAGTCTGTCTGCTCTTCGCCCATCCTCGACCTCGGCCAACTCCGCGTACGTGATCGTCACCTCCTCGCCGGCGGCGATGGGCCGCAGCGCGCGCACCTTCTGCGGCGACTCACGGAAGCCTCCCATACCATCCTGTTGGCTGTTGGCTCTTGCGAGCTTACGCTGATCGACGCTAGTCGACGAAAAATCGAGGCTAGTCGACTCTCAATCGACACTATCCTACCGACTGCAAGACGCTACTAACGCACTCTCAGGGCGGAGTAGCGAGGGTACACAAGGCTCCCAGGAGTTGAGACCGAACGCACATCTCCAGCCACGAGAAGGGCTTCTGGTCCTCTCTTCGCCGCGGCGCACTTCCTCTCTCGTTTCGGCCTCCGCGGTCCTTGAGATCCTGGCGCTACCTGCTGTCTCACACTGGGCGTTTGCGCCAGGGCTGGGGCCCTGGGACCCTCGCAGATCGACCCGGCTTGCAAAATGCAGCAGAAAAATGGGGTCGAGCTCAAACTCCAGCTATGATTTTCTACGACATTGCGTGTTTGTCGCGACGTCGGATCTCCGGGATGGAGGGAATAGAAGCGAGAACCATGATCAAGTCCGCGGCCCACATGGAACATGTCAAAGATCGGCGTCGTCGAGATCCCGCGACATCTTGGTCACGGTCATCGTGTCCTTTCCCTCGACTCGAGACCGGCTTCGGGCCCCAGCGAGAAACACCACAAGGGAAGCGCGATCGAAAACTCCCCTGGGGCCGCGGATTGAAACATATCACGTCGCCGGATGTCTGGGAAAACGGTCCTGGGGAACAAAAATCCTTGAGGATTTCCCTGTTCATGGAGCCCTCCCCAGACTCCAGGGCCAGCAAAAAACTACATAGGATGAAAGGCTGGTCCCACAGGAAGGCCACTGAGGTCCAGGATCTGTTTCCAGCAAAGATCTTTTTGTTGCGTGGCGGGGACTTATCCACAACCACAGCCTGGGGGATCGATCATCGGAGACCTCGGCTAGCGGTAAGAACATACGTGGCCCCACCAGGGCCCGAATTTTTCCAAATCCGACGCCCGCCGAGGTTCCCCAATTTCGATGACTCGGGCGCTCGTTATGGATGAACCTCTTGTGGTCAACACCTCGAGCATCCTGCCGACGAAGCTCTGCGCACAGCTGGGCTCCTCGCTGTGGTTGAGAAGGGCGGCGCGCAGGTAGAGCCCGAGGCCAAGGCTGCGCTGCTCCTCGGCGGGATCACTATCAAGCAAGCACGGTGGAACGATTCGAACATAGATCCGCCACCGTGCCCCTCGCACGTTGAGGCGTGCAAGGATGACGGGGCCTGTCTGGTGTTTGTAATCTAATGAGGGCCCCCCCCTCGACTCGCGGACTGCTGCATGCATCGCCCCTCCTTTCCGAGGCCACTTCCCTCGTGCCCGCTCGAGGACGATGCACTGCCAGCATGGCAGGTAATGCCTCACCCCCCCTTCGACGCGTGCCCGCTCGACGATGATGCACTTCCCGCATGGCAGCTGATGCTTGACCCCCCCCTTCCACGCGTGCCTGGAGCGTGGTGCGCATTTCGCCTGGCCGCGAATGCCCGAATCCTCCTTCCGTGCGCGCCCGCTCAAGGATTGTGCCACTTCCCGCATGGCTGCCTACTCCTCGACCCAGCATTCCATGCGCGCGCCCGCTCGCACTCCCGCCCGCGCGCCCTCTCGAGAATCGTGCACTTCCGCGTTCCCAGGCGCTGCCCCCAAGCGCTCCAGGGCCTCCCAAGCCACGATCCCTCATTGAAAACATCCGATCTGCGTTCAGAGCTTGTGTTTGCCCACGAACAGGCCCTCAATGCTAACAGCGAACACGGTATGGGGCGGCGCAACAGAACTGCCGAGCTGGGTCGTGGGATTCTGCAGCTTCTTTGGCCCGGAACTGCAACGCTCTCTGAAAAGGTATTTGACCGAGCGGCAGTTGATGAGCTGCTGCGGGAGATGGTTGAGCACACTGACCATGCCCAAACTCGATCTCTGTAGCAAGAGATGGTGGCCTGGTTCGATCGGGTCTTTCAGTGCCAGACTCTGCAGGCGCCGGTTGCCAACGAAACCGTGTGATTCAAGAAGAAGGCCCGAGGCAGCAGGAAATAGCGAGGACAGAGAAGCGGAAGCCTGACCAATCGAGACCTGAAACAGCAAACCTAAAGCGGACATGCCGCCCCTCATTCCTTCCGGTGCAGAAGTAAATTCAGATAGCGCGCATTCCTCATCAACTCATCGTCTTGCAGGTTACCTGCAAGACGATGACTTGATGAAAACGCGGCACGCGGCAGAAATAGTTATGAGAAGGAAACTCGCGCGCTTCGCGTGCGTCCGTCGACCGAAATTGATAGATCAGGGCAAGCGCGCGGCGACGACCGCATTTGTCTCCACCAATCAATAATCAGGTTTTGTTTCCTGGTGGGGGAGGGACCCGACAGGTAATCGTTTGCACGTCATCGAGCTGCTACAGGGCGGGCCGTGCAGGCAACGAAGGACGGACCGTGGACGCAGCCGAGACGGACCGTGCAAGCAACCCAGGACATCAAGATGGCCCAAGATGCCTCGAAGACGGCCCAGGATGGCCCCACGGCAAAAGAATATGGTCTGAAGAAGCCAAAATCACTGATTTCCATTAAGTTGGTGGTGTTCTCGCAGTCTTGCCATTTCGGGCTGTCGCCAGCTCAAGACGGCCCAAAAGGACTCCACGATGGCCGGGGAGATCCAAAACGGCCTCAGAAGGCCCTCCGACGGCCGAAGACGGCTCAAGACTGCCCCCGGACACCCAGCATACGGCCAACAGGCCCTTACGACGGCCCAAGAGAGCCCCAAGCTGGCGCACGTGGGCCCGAAGACGGTCAGAGAGGGCCCCAAGAGACCAAAAGACTGACCCAACAGGTCATTATAATCATCACTATCATCATCATCATCATCATCATCATCATCATCATCATCATCATCATCATCATCATCATCATCATCATCATCATCATCGTCATCATCATCATCATCATCATCATCATCATCCTCATCCTCATCCTCATCCTCATCATCATCATCATCATCATCATCATCGCCATCATCAGTAGCATCATCATCAGCAGCATCATCGTTATCATCATCATCAGCAGCATCATCATCAGCAGCGTCATGCTCACCATCATAATCATTATCCTCATCGTCACCATTCTCAAATCAGCATCAGCATCAGCATCGCCATCATCATCATCATCAGCAGCAGCAGCAGCATCATGATAATATAATCATCATCCTCCCCATCCTCATCAGCATCATCCTCACACATCATCATCAGCATCATCATGATAACCAGGTCATCTGCATCGTAATCCTCATAGAAGGCATCAGCACCATCGACGTCATCATCATCATCACCACCGTAATCACAACATCGTCATCGTCATCAGCATCATCACCATCAGCATCACCATCGTCCTCGTCACCCTCAGCATCCCCAAATCATCATCACCAGCATCATCATCATCCTCATCATCACCATCATCACCCATATCATCATCAGCAGCACCACCATCACCATCATAGCCATTGCCATGATCGCCGACATCGTCACTGCCATCGTCGTCGTCGTCATCGTCATCCTCCTCATCATCATCAGCAGCATCATCATCATCATGCACATCATCGTCGTGCTCTTCCCTTCGTCATCCTCACCATCACCATCATCACCATCGTCATCATCGTCATCATCATCGGCATCACCATCATTATCATCATCAACATCATCCTCATCATCAGCATCGGCATAATCAGCATCGTCGTTTTCATCATCACCGTCAACATCATCATCATCCTCACCATCACCATCATCACCATCATCACCATCTTCGGCGTCGTAATCATCGTCCCCATCATCCTCATAATCCGCATCATCCTCACCACGGCACTCGCAAGCCTGGAGGCCCGAGGTGTCACACTCGAGGGCGTCCCGTGCCCCCTCGAACAGCCGCCACCAAGAATGATGGACTGGCACTGTGGCGGGACGTGCCGCAGGCATCTGGATACTGGCCCCTCGAACACAGTCAGAAGCCAAGACGCGATATTGTCACGAACCCCGACCTTAAAACAGCCTGCGCTGTCGCAGCGCTGGCAATCGCTCAGCGCGGGAGGGCCTAAGTCGCGTTGCAAAACGGCCAGGTCTACTGCAGTGCGCATGTGTAAGCTCATGTGTTTGTGGTGCAAGCTTTTGTTTTCGTCGTACCGCAAACCTGTGTTCTCCGCTCACAAGCTTGCGGTACTGGGCTTCCGCAGGAGCCGAACAGGGAAAAGGCGGCCCGGCCTTCCGCCAAGCGACGTGCCTGCGGTGCAAGCTGTGCGGTGTAAGCTATGCGGCACAATGTCCGTGACGCTGGTATGAATAGTGTCATGTAAACCCTATGGCGCAAGCCATGTAGTGTAAGCTATGTGGTGAAACCTATGCAGTCCAAGCGATGTGATGGGCTATGTGATGTAAGCCATGTGGTGCAAACTATGCGGCGCAAGCAATGCGCGCCCACGAGGCGCCCACGACTGGGCACTAACCTATCAAATCGCCAGGCGAAGTCCCGAAAAACCCACCCAGCGCACGGGGCTCCCAGGAGGCGTCCACGACCAGGAACCAGCAGGGCACCAGGCGACGACTTGACAGGCTCGAAGGGCAAGCACGAACCCCCGATTGCAGGGACTTGCCGGCGAAAACTGAGCGCTTCCTGTATGCTGTACTCCCGTGCGCCTCCACGCGCCGTACCGCCCTTGGCGCACCCAGCCAGGGACGAGACGAGCATGAAAGCTGTAAGTTTGTGTTCTGGTGCGCCTCCGCGCGCCGACCCGCCTTCGGCGCATCAAGAGACGGGAGCTTGCACCCCCTGGCGCCTCCCGCGAGCAAGGCCGCGTCTCAAGTGACACGGAACACGACACGTCATACACTTTACACTTTGAAAATCCCGCGCGCCTCCATGCTTAATGCGGGATGACGATTAATAAGAAAATAGGAGGGAACGATTAAACAATTGGTTTCTGCTATTTCGGCATAACTTTCTGACTGGAGGAGAACGATGAAACAAAAAAAAATCCAGCCCGCAGCCGGTTTTTCAAATCGTCATCCCGGGCGCCGCCGCGTGAACACGACCCCCGGTCATTTATTAATCGTCATCCTCCATAAAGCCGCGTCTTGAGCGCAACGAAACACGCAATGGACATGGCGATCGCATTCGCGCGCTCCCGCGCGCGCGCCCGCGGGCCTGGCCGCACCCCAGGCGCCGCGAGAGACGACAGCGGGGCTGGAAACCGCAGGCTGGCACTCCAGCGCGCCCTCGTGCACAAGGCCGTGCCCGGCGCCCCACGAGAGACGGCGGCCTGCCTGCACTCCGCAGGGGGTCCTCGCGTCGACTCGCAGTCGGGCGGGAGTTTACCAGCCTGGAACATACCCCTATCCCTATGCTGGGCATCTCCTCGCCACGATGCCAATCTTAGGGTTTCCCTTATTTGTTGAGGGCGGATCCCTAAGATTGTCATCGCCTTTTGGCGTGTCAATCTTATGAAACAGGGCTAGGATCGGGATAAATCGCTCCAGAGCGTTCCGGAGCGCTCTCAGAGCGTTCCGGAACGCTCTGGAGCGGCCGCGGCGCCCAATACATCCTCCAAACCCGCCGATTCTCAGAGATTTCGAGTTATCCCGATCCGGTTTTGTCCCGATCTTCGCGTCGCTTTATCTTAGGGATAGGGATACGTTCGAGGCTGGTAAGGAGTGGCGGTGCCTCGCCCGGCGTGCGGCCGTGGGCGCGCCTCGCGGGCGTGCTGTGAGCCGGGCGGGCGTGGCGAGGCGCTTCGCCCGGTGGGCGGCCGCGGGCGCCTCGTGGGCGCCCCGTGCGCTGGGCGCGCGCGTGGCGAGGTTTCCCTTTGCAAGCACATCGTCTTCGGCACCGCCTGGTCCCGGGGCGTTGCCCCCTCCTGGCCTTGACGTGAGGCTCCTCCTTCCGCCCCCTCCTCTTTTGATGATTCAAGCTGTGCGCGGCCCGCTCAGCTTCGGCCGGAGGAGGTGCGCTCTCGACCCGCGAATCAAAGAGGCGAGGCTTCGCCCGGACGCACCCTGCCACACGTCGCAGCGCAGCTCGCAGGTACAGCTCCCAAACAGCTCTTGCTGCGACTCATCTTGCAGCCTCCAATCAAGCCTGGCTGCATGCCATGATGCTACTGCC